AACTGCGACCTGCAAAGGCTGAAGCTCAAGGAATGTTAAACTCAGCTAAACAAATTATTGCATCATTAAACAACTTAATAGCATTTTATGTATACCTTTTTAAGAATTCTGCATTTTATGCAATGGGAATAGTAACTCAAAATCCTCTAGCATAGCTACTGCTAACACAAATATTTAATAGAATATAATGAAGTGCCTCAAGACCTCCATGCCGACAAAAGAAGACAAAATACTCGAGTGGAATATGTATTTTCGACCTACAGCAGAGACTGGCGCTGCTGGCATGACCAGGAGGTGGGGCCCCCGGCGGATGTTTAGTGATGGAGCCCTTCAGTGGCTTTTACTGCAACCGCGGTTAAAACAAACAAATAGTCTATTATAATAATTTATTTGGAAATCGGTCTAACTTACACAATTATGTACCGTTTTATTACAAGAATTATAAGCCAATCATTGTACAGCCTACTTTTCCGGAATTATTCATTAGCAAAGTAGTTTTGGGGCAATGTGAGGTGAAACGACCCTTGTTTAAATGCACAACTCTTGTGGAATCTTTGATATTGGCAGTCTGTGCTTCTGCTCAGAAGTACGACCTTGCGCTTGCATTTTCAGTCCCCCGGCATTAACTGCAAAAGATCGCTACAACCGTTAACATGACATAAGCCATCCACTCGAGTGCATTGCTTAACACTGAAACAGCACGCGAAGACCTCCTTTGACGTGTTGCTACATATCACGTCACCTAATTGTTTAGTCTGAGACCACTTGTCGTGCAACTATTGTGCAACTAGTATATGTCTTCTCCATCAGAAAAATAAATTCCACTACCGGCGTGTCAAACACCCGCGGCAACCACATCCTCACACATTTGAGGCTTACAATTTCCAATCAAACTAAGACTGCAAACTGAAAACCGCCCCACCAAAGCATTATAATAGACCTATTGTGATCACCAAACTTCGCACCCATGCTTCGCATGGGAACGAGTGAAATGCACACTCTAGTACCAAACCTTGAGAAACCTAAGGCCCGCTGATAATTATTTATTGAACTTGGTGTCTTAAGTTTAAAATTTGTGAACAAAATGAGACCTTACTGCAGCTTGAAAGCTTCATTTGTAAGCTCCGACTTACAAAAACAGGACCAGGTACCTCCATATGCATTGTTCCACTATTCGTATCCCAGAAAACCGATTAACAATGCCTGAGTAATCGTTATCTAAGAATTGTAATCGAAGGCAAGAACATAGATACGGGAGAAAAAAGCCCCTCCGCGTGGCTTGGAAAGTTGAAGTAAAAGTAAAAATTAACAGGCCTGTTGGCATTGCATGTTAAAAGATGTAAGAGCAGAAAGCCACGGAATGAATAATGGTGCAATTTGGTAGTTTTAACTGAAGCGAAGCTCAGCAGTGGCCGTAAGTGCAGCCGACAGAGGCGTAGGCAAGGCTGGCGGAGTTTCGGCCGTCCTGCTCGCCGCGCTTCATGTTGAGTGAGGTCTCCGCAGCGAGAGCCGCCTGTGAGGGACGACTACGAGTGCGCGACGACGTCATACCATGTAGCAGTATTTCTGTTCTATTTGCCTCACCGCGTGATACCGCCAGGCACTCCGCCACCACGTCGTTTGTTATACGCGCCGACACCACCGAGTCGCCACGATAATCCGGGTGGCGTTGAATCAAATAGCGCAGCCACCGCGCCGTCGTCGGCAATTCGCCTGTTAAGAGAATTCATGCGGACCTCGTTTCTGCCTTACTTCAAACCCGAAAAAACTCTAATGACGTACTCCCCAACTTCCGTTAACGATTGTACCCTATTGCATATTTCAACTCTATCGAGTGGGAGTTCAGACAATTATCTCTATTCGCTAAATCTATAATGCGCAGTCAAATTCAGATTTATAGCATCGATCAGAACATTAAAAATAAGTGGATGAAGCAGGAACGCCAAATGGTGATTCGAATCAAAGGAACTGCACTAGGACAAGAAAGGCAAACCTGAAGCTCTGCGTGAGATGAGGCTCAAGTACTGGTGGATGGAGAAGGCGGTGTTCGGATCAATTTCGATCATGCTGAGATAGTGTCGAATGAGCGAGATTAAGCCAGGGAAAGTATCCTACAAAGTGCATTGCAGACAAATGGTCAGCGATGAGTTGAGTCATTATATTGCCTTGAATAATGGGCATATGGCTACAAATGACAAGGTCAGTAAAACCAAACCTAGCCTTCCAAAATGAAAACTCTAGGATCACAGTTGACGACCAACAGTGAAGATTGACCTATCGGTATGGCATAAAATACACATTTATAGCTCCACTCATTCAAAGCCTTTCAACTCAAAGGACTTGGAAACACGCCCATGCGCTGGTACAGTTCGCCTGCCTCATAGGCCCACATTTTCGTGGGAGGCTATTGCCTCGTCACGCTTAGAGCAGGACTCACACTGCCGTTGATGATTTCATTGATGGTCATGGCGGTGTAGCTCTCCTCCGGTTCGACCGAGCATGTAAACGCCCCATCGCCATTGGAAGCCTGAGAGGAGGAGCTGGAGCTTAAGAAGTCACCGGCAATAAGATCCTCGCTGAAGTTCTGTGAGCGCCGGATTCGACGACAGGCCTCGACAGCCGCCTCCTTAGTCTTGCCTTGGGGAGGGGATCACAAACATAATTAAAATCACAAAAACCAGGAAAAGCTGCCAAAATTCAAAAGATTCCACTACCTTGACAATCAGAGCAACAACTTATGATCATCCATGATATTAAATATGAGATTGCGACAGTGGATAGCATAAACAGAGAAAACAGCTCAAATTACTGACTGACAATGTTTAAAATGGCAACCCGATTGAAGCTGCAGAGAACAACAAAGATGACAATAATGGGGATAAACTAGACAATTTGTCAATCTACACTTAAGGGAAATTTTATGCAACGATGGCGAAACCGTATTTACACAAAAAAGAATTGACAATGCATCATGACACAGAATGCAAACAAAGAGCCGAAAGTAATGACGTAGTATTAACCGTAAGCTGGATAGCACCCCCGGAAGATCCACGATTTTGACTGACTGTTTTAAATTCGCTTTGCAATATAACTAGCATGAAGATTTAAAAACTTGCTATCAGACATATACAACTGAACGCACAAACAACCTCCACTCATCTTGTTACTAAGCCATCTTTCAATCGGCTGAGGTGAACGCTAAGCGCTGCGAGGAGACCCGCATTTAATAAGGGGGCCGGTTATCGAACAGAAAGACGAAGACTGCAAAGTGAGGAAAGTTAACTAGTTTTTTAAAGAGGTTGGGGCACAACTCGGTGGTCAAACACCAATTTGAAAAGCAAACAGATGATTTTTTAAAGTATGGTGATGAAAAATGACAGTATATTGTCTCATAAAGAGTTTTCGTGAAGTGGTGGACGACCGAACTTGAATAACCACAACAATATGCACCAAGTGAGCTTCAACAACAAAAAAATACTGATTTTACGGAAAGGAGCTGAATACATATCCACCAGAAAAATTAAGTTTAAAAAATTGTAATAAGTTTGGCCTGAACAAACTCGCTGTTTCACAATTGACGGGGATTAAACTAGACCAAACTAAATTGCAGCTACATGTCTAACACTCCGAAGAGTAACAAATTGGACTCAAGTTTTATTGAGGCTACGGTAGACAGCAAATATCAGTGGCATACCTAAATGGCTAAATACATGAAACAGTTAAATCTAGCTGTTGCAAACTGTCAATTAGCTTACTAAGTCTAGTTGTAAGCCATATAAATATTTGAACCTACAGAAATCGCCGCTGCATGCTACAGCACACGTTTCGCTTGAAACCGAAAGCCCTCACATATGTATTGCAGGACAATTGCCAGGCAAGTTAGCATGTAATTGGATTTCCACATATGATGCCCATTTACGACAAATGCATGAAATGATAAAGGAATGCACCCTGAGAAAAACTCTTCCATATCAAAAAGAACAAACTTAAGAGGCATCTGGTTGACTAAACCCTACAAAGCGGAGCAAGTGATAGTTACCAAGTAGAAGGTTGGTAGTTACACCTCCCAAAACAAACGGCTTTGAATTTTGAGGGTTTCTTCAATAAGTATATGTAGGCAAGACATAAATATAATGTCAAGCCATAATGTTATTTCTAAATCACTTTGAAATTGCCCCAAACGTAACAGAGGTAGAAATATATCGCTAGTACAATTTGAACATCCATACAAATACTTTTAATCCAATTATTGGTGCAATGAGCCCGGCATACATCAAAGGTAAGTTTTGGAGCATGGCGGCACTTGAGAATACCCCGACCCTCCGTCGGTTAGTCCAGTGCATACCATACATGACAGAATTTAAATGTATAACTATACCTTGTGGACTTGCATAAAGCATTTCAATATCAAAATCAATAACATAAATGATCCATGTTAACATTGAAAACAGATCGTCGAAAGCCTTACGCTTTTGCGCACTTTATGAAGCCATCTAATCCAAAAACATTCGAATACGATTTTAAGCGAGAATACCAAATGCCCCACCCCCAAACCCCATACATAATCAACAGTCGCGTTGAACGAGATCAGGAGACCTGCAAATAACGAGCAGTTTTAGAACTTACTTAAGGCGAAGGGTACATACCATAAAATATAAGATCACCGCGCCTAAAATGAAATCTCTCCCGATTTACGGCGTCACGCTTGACAGCATTTCGCATGTTCTCCTCCACCCTGGAGATCGGAATAAGGAAGTTAAGCTTGAGCGAGAGAATGGTGCGGGTGAGCAGCACCACAAAAGTTGCAAATGCTGCGTTCTCAAAATCCGTTAACTGAACTTCCATGGGGCGGAATTCGACCCGCCAACCAATGTCAGTGTTGGGAGGAGGTGGTTTAAATCGCATTGATTGCCAATTGGTGGATTGAATATTCTTAAAGCACACAAAACCGAAGAAATATCAGAATATTTAACATCGCTACCAGTACCTATTATGTTTCTCTGTTTACCTATCCCTATGGTACCCTACACGATTAATTTATTAGATAGACATTTCCGTAACAAACTCCTCAGCTTTAGCAAAGATTTGCGGTCTACCAGTTTCATCAAGATTATGGCCGTTGTCTATATTAACAATAATATCGTTTGAAAATAATAGAGTATCACATTTGTGTAGGATTTACATAATCGTTTGCAGACTACGATGGACATATGGATCTTTACAGAAATTTCTGAATCAGATCATTCTGAAGCATTCCAGGATACGTTGCCAACACTATTTTGAATTCACTATGCCTCCACAAGCAGGCGTTAGTGTGCTTAAATGTCAGAATCATTTGATATGAAGCCTTTCCTAAACAGTTCTCACAACTTGACATGGCTTTGTTTAAAAGTAATTTTTTTGAAAAATAGACAATAGTACATTGAAAATATCGAAACTATTAACCAAACTAGGCGACTATGGAAGGCGAAGGCACATTGTGAAAAGGTAGGTAGAGAAACCAGTACCTCAAAATGGTCGGTGTCATCTTCATCGTGACATTGAAGTTTTTCAGCGTAAAGCGCAATAGGATCGCGAATAAAGAGATGGGCGATGTGTCGGGCCAGAACATCGTCGATTCCTACGGCCCATAAGCACACTAGTAAACTCTCCAGTTTAGTCATCGTAAATTAGCTGAGGTTGTGTGAGCATTTAAGTGTTAGGTATCAAATGACGAGTTTGAAAAGCAACAACACCCCAACGCGAACTCTTCTGAGACCAAATTGAATAAGCGGAAAAATGCATTAGCATAAACAACGTTTCGATAAGGCCTAGTGAGTGATCTATTTAGGCACAGAAGGCAATTTCAAAATGATTCATTTTTACTGAGTTTATGTCCACCAGAAGCAGACCGTCACAGACCGTCATAATTAATCAATCAAACTTAGTACGCAAAACAACAGAATATTTTACTAAAGGATTTACCAGCAGCTTGCAGTTCAGCGTAGATTTCACAATCATATGGAATGCTTGTGTCGTTATAGGCGCCCCCTTCAGGTGAAATGTACGCTGACACGGAATCGTACCTTGATTTCTGGATCCTAAATCTATCATGTTCCAGTGGCTGAAATAAACACCGAGTAATTAATTTTTAAAGGCAATTACCTCTGAAACATCTATACAGTTGTACTGCAATAATTTAAACAGCGTGAACGAAAAATCCGAATGAAACAAATGAAATATTCACTAAACACAAAACGTCAACCGTAGCCCTGAAATGGTATGTTAAACCAGATTGAGCACATAAACAGTAGTTGGATGAGTAACGAAAAAAGGTAACACCTTGAATCCACGCTCTTCCTCTGTTCGATCATCCACAGACGCGGAAATAATATCCCAGCGGCAATCCGTGTCAAGCAGGTAGCCCCTAATGGCTGGCGTTGCCGCACTCAAAGCCATCATCATAGGGCATATTGTGGTCAATTGGTCATACAACATACGCGCCTCTGATATACAGCAACCCTATTTTTTTGAAAGCTCAGATGAAGGTCAATAGAGTAAAATATCATTAAAGTGCTTGAACCAGTGATCAATCTTAACGAAACTGGGACATTACAAAACTTACCTGAAAGGTGACTTGAAGGCAACAACATCCCATACCAAAGCCCATAGCGTCCATATATACATGATCAGGAAGAGCATCAGAAGAAGCTGAAGTATCGTTTGGATCATGAAGAGCGGAGAAATCTTCGACAAACGGTTTTGGTGTGCTGTTATCATGGAAAACTTGAAAGTTGTCGAAAAAGGAATATTAGTAGGCATTACTCGATATAACACTCATTAAACCGCAAAAAGCCTAGCTTTGCTGGAAGCTACTTGCTGAATTACGCAAAGTTCCAGCTTTACGTATAATACAACTACGAAAGTTTATTCAATAAAGAGGCAAATAAAACCTTCAAATATTAGCAGTAAATAAGGGAAAAGCATAGGTAAATCTCTGAGTACACGAACAACTATGAACGCAGAAAAATGACAATTTCCCGTAGCTATACGAAAAGCACAATTACTTGGCACATTAATGGCAACCTTCGAACCCCTGCGCTCTCGTATGTTACGGGTCAGCACTCTAAAGAAAAGTAGATATTAATGCGCAAAGTTCGTTAAAAATTCACGTATACACGTTTGACTTGAAACCCACTTAAAGCGCGGGATTGAATCATTTATTGCTTCTTCAGGATAAAATAGACTTCGAGAGGCTCCTTTTGTGGGTGTTGGACGAGTAGGTGGAAACGTGAAGTCAGGACACCCAAGTCTAAAATTATGAATCAGATTGAACTTACAAAATTTCGACCACTATGTAAAGAGATAACGCAAGCAAATATAGGAAAGTTATTGTTGGAATTACATCATTGTTCTGATAAAACAGACGCAAACCTAGGGAAGGCTGATAGGCATATGATATAGCAGTTCTCTGGAAGGCGTTTTTGAACCTGTTCGCGACGCATTTGCATATTGAATTCAACGGTATTCATGTATTCTGGCAAATGACCAAAAGGTTTCCCTGGTGTTCCTTCAATCATGTATGCAGCATACTCAGGTCTCCATAATACATCAACCTGATTCCCACTAAGATAAAAGAAGTGTTTAATCGAGATTCAACTTGCCAGTCAGAATGATGAGAAATCATGCCAAATTCCTCAATCAACCCGCTACCATACCCGTCCATAGCTGTGACCTCATTACATAAATGCTAAAGATTTCTTTCGAACATAAACGTTGACAGTACTATACCAATTACATCTACCACGAAAGCCGATTTGCTGTGTAAATGTAAATACATCGCACGTGACAGAGCACCAGAGAACTCGTGAATACAAATCAAGCAGAAATCTTACGTTGGTAACTTATTTTCTTCCCACCGCATATAAGGAACGAGTTCTGAAGCTATCAGCAGAACCCGGGTATCCTTCGTTTTAGGATCGATGTGAATTAAAGTGTACTCAATCTCATCACCGAAATACAGAGCGGCACCAGTTGACTTGGAAAGCTTATGGTACTGGCGGATAAACTGCTCCACACCTAGCCTGCGGACCAAGGGGGCATACTTCTTAGTTTCAGGCCAAGAGAGAGGCACACCGGAAGTCATCAAGACCATCTTGACACCGAGCACCGAATACGAATATGTGAATTGCATCTACTGGTATAAACAAAATTGAAGGACACATAAAATATGCTGTTTATTGCATGAACCAACGGCACATATATTAGTAAGCAACATGTTTTTTAGGGGGTAAAAGATCTTTGCCACAAATGGAAGGAATATGCTGATCCAAACGTTTATGTATGATTGAAATCTGATGACAATTTTAGCGAACCGCACTGGTTCACTTGCTGAGAATTTTAAATGATGGTGGCTGGCGTAATTCAAACTATCAGTGCTTGAAGAATTTAAATCATCCACTACAACAAACTCTATTACATCTTTAAATTGAGCCATGCTAAAAACATCAAAATTAATATTAAAACGCATGGCAGAGGAATTCTTTAATGGTATGATGCCGTAATGCATGGCATGGAAACCGCTCCATCAATTTTACCCTAATCTGATGCTAAACTTACTGTCTTAAGTACTCCGTTTGACTCTTATTGGATTATTTTGCGTATCTTGTCTTAGCCATCAATGTCGGCGGAAGTTGAAGACGGGGACGTTCCGACATCAAAAAAACCGAAAGGTCTGTTTTGTCTTCGTTGTTGTTATTGTATTTTGTAGAATCGAGGTTTTACCAGCAGAAACTATGGGCATGGCAGCCTATTCTTACAGCCAGTAACATATGTCCCTACTTCTACATTGTTGCCATCCTATTTATTCCTCTCGGTGCCTTCTTTTTGGCTACATCTAACGGGGTAGGTGGTGTATTATAGTGGCTAAATTTAGGTTACCGAAATTTCCATTCCATATACTCATTGCGTCTCGCTGAATTCCGTGGGAACATCCTGTGCAGAACATGTAAAAGATCCATCATTAGGACTTTGCCGATGCCGAGTTAATTTCACATTAGATGCAGATTTGCAGGTAAAACTATTCCAAAACCGCCTTTTTTACTAGAGTTTTATCTGCTGTGTGGATTTTGACATCTAAAAATTGCTTGCGAAGATGAAGCATTCTGTAGACATGTTAAAACATGCTTATCACTTCTTCAATTACTTATTTTGTACTTAAAGGGGCCATTGTATGTCTTTTATGGACTAACAAACTTCTTCCAAAACCACCGTCGATATGTCATGTCTCGTGATGACGAACAACTCAACGGCAAGCCCATTACCGTTCCCAGCGTGGATTGTGAACCATATCGTTACAATGTTGTGGACGGTGTCAAAAAAATAATCGCTCCATGCGGAGCAATAGCTAACAGTTTGTTTAATGGTGAGACCATTGGGCAACAATCTTTTATAAGGTTCCACTGCTAGTAATAACTGGCTAAAAAAAATCCGATGGCATATTATTAAGTTCAACTTTATCCTTGATAGTAAAGTTCCCATCATTTAGTAATTATGCCAATTCTTACAAGCATATGCAACACGACGAATGAATGTTTGTTCGTACTATTTTTTAGATACTTTTACTTTAAGGCTAGTGCAAAAGGAAAATAAAAGTAGCGTCCTTGTTGAGTTTTCAATGGATAACATAGCTTGGAAGTCGGACCGAGACGTGAAGTTCGGACGGCCCGCTTCGTGGGATAACACGACCAAGCCCATTAATTGGCCCAAGCCCGTGCAGAATATCAGTGCAAACGCTTATTCCGGATTCTCCCAATTGCTTGTTTGGATGCGAACAGCAGCACTTCCAAATTTCCGCAAAAATTATGCTGACATTATCCATAAAGGTGCCTTCGCTAATGGTCTCCCGGCTGGATACTATGAAGTAGATGTTGATTATTGTAAGTGATTTATCGGAAGGTAGTGCTTTTTGCCATTACCCTAAATACTTCATATATTGGCTGTATTTTTGTTAGTTTCATCATTTTAGTAAATTATTTCTTAACTTGGAATGGAAACATGGAATTATGCACAAAACCGTTTCCAAGTAGAAATGGATATCTTCTATTTTTTGGGTTCTATCAATTGATGATCTAGTGTTTTTTTTTCAAAATCTCTGTGCCCTAATGTCACTAAGCTTCATTGTTTTAAGTGGATTGAGATCATTCTCTGCAAACGTTGTTTTTTTTTAGCGTATCCAGTGACCCAGTTTAGTGGAACCAAACGATTTATTATCTCACAGGCCAGTTGGTTGGGTGGCCGCAACCCGACATTGGGTATTGCTTACATTGTCGTTGGTTGTATCCATGCCGTTCTCGCGGTAATCTTTACCGGAATTCACTTTCATTTGCGCAGAAGGTAAGTTTGTGGGTTATCATTTTAAGAAGTCAGACCTTCGCGACCGGAATAACTGTACTAGACAATGGATTTTGACTTTTCTTTATTTTCGTTTCGTTCATGATCATTGTCTTGTCTCTTTATTGCTTGTTATGCGAAATATTGAACTAGCCTAATGTCCCTACCACCATTAATCTGCATAAATTTCTGAATCTTGCTGTACAAGAGTTGTCTATTGGCGTTTGAAGCTTTTCGAGTTATTGATGTCGCCATCAAACAAACTCATGTATCGAGTGCATCTGAATCGCCTCTTTTTGCCGTTACAGGCGACGGGGAAGACTCTGAGTGAATTCTGCTCGGTTGCGGCTGTGAACTGTGCACCCTGACACGATCATGCCCATTGAATTTTCATTTCCCTCATTCCGCTTTGTACAATTTCTCCTACATTTGCGATGGTACCTATGCCATGCCTCACCGCCTTTGATTATCCACTGTATTCATGTACGATGATAATCAAATTTGCATGTATCCACGTCCCTTCAAATTGAGTAATTTTCTGTCGTAAATGTCACAACCTTCAGACGACAGTTTTTCGATCCCAGGTACACGTACGAGGTGGCGTCGGGACCACACCGTGCTTCAAGGCTATTGCGAATACGCCCCGCTTGGGTCAATGACCTCGCCATCAGCACCTAGAACTCCTTAACTTTCATGGTAATGTAAAAACCCTACCACGGGGGTGCCGTTTCTGTGAGGGGGTCTTCAGTATCGTTTAATACAAAGAGTAGCAGGTCAACCCCGGAAAACATGGAGGTATTGCTCACCACTCGGTGATGACTACGAGTCTACTGGCATCTCAGACTAGTGTACCCCTCTTCCGGCCCATTAATTGCATGCACTAAGTGCAAAGACAAGATTTAATAATTTACAAGGTGGAGCATGTTCACGCAGCAGCGACAAATGCTACACAAACAACTTACTCCACAGGACCCCCACGCCCACCACACCCCAACCTAGTAGAATACCATAAACTCCTGATAAAGCATCAAAGATGACCAGATGATTCCATAGCTCACAATATTATTATTACAATAAGCTGCCGCAGTTAGTGGCGAGCAACATCGCGACTACCGGTGGTGTGATAATTGTATGTACATGGGACAGAGCTGCGCAGGAAGGCAACAATGCAGAGCAATCGCCGCTAAAGATCGAGTTTACGCATTTGGAACTCCTCGTCGGGATAAAGACGAGCCACGATTTGGTGGCCATCGAAGAAGCGCCCATTAAGCGCCTGCACAGCATTAACAGCGGCGTCGTGACTATCAAAGTTCACGAAGATGCGCACCGCTAAGCTATCAGTCATCACGTGTACGAAGACGCGCAGAACCTCACCAAAATTTCTGCACTCCTCTGCCACCTCCTCCTCTAGGTAGGCGTCCACTTCCTCCGCCGCCGACACCATGTTCTCCAGCAGCACCACTCTTTTGCAAGGTCAAAAAGAAGGGTTAATTATCACACACAATAATATGGTCCCCCTAGGATAACTAAGAAACCGTTTCAGAAGAAAAGTAGGTTTGAAAATGTCTACTTATGGTGACGCTATGATGATAATATTAGGGACTGCAAAAATTCGTTTTATGTAGTGAGAAAATATTTTAGTGCCTGGAAAGATCATCCGGGTGAACGGGTGATACAGCAGAAGGAGAGTAGGCGTCCTGAATTCCTTTACTGCCGGCATCTTGCGGGCGCATTGTTATGGCAACATCATCCTCATCCCAACGGGCGCCAGCCGTGGCTGACTGGGATTCAGGCGCTGCGAAACAATTAAGGAAAATAGTAGGATTAGTAAACCATAGTTTTGGTGATGATGCTATCATTGACGGCTAGAATTGAGTGCAAAAGTGTATTCATTGAAAATATTTCTGCGTGTTGCTATTGCAAAACTTCACAGGCGCAAAATCTATCTCACACGGTTATCCCAAAACCTGAAAACTCCTCGGAGAGACGTCGAACCAAACGTACTATGAGATTGGTAATATTACACACTTTACCATTATAACCGAGGTTACGAAGGAGGGACAAAATGAAGTTCTTTAGTGTTCCTACCGGATACAAACTTTGGGACGGGAATGGACTTAAAGAAGTAATAAGTGGTAGTTAAGACAAGCAAACCTATGGCCATAAGTGGGCGTGGAGGTACATCAAACGTCCTTAAAATGACCCAGATTACCGGTGATATAAACTTGCGGTGAAAAGTGGAGAGAAGGGCGTCACACAAGACTTACCAGGTACAGCTGAGGGTGGTGGGAACGCCACTGAAAGAGGAGCCGCAGCAGGGGCCACAGAGGGCACGAAGACACCTGGAGGCGGCACGTGCTCTCCAGAGCCCCAACCCGAGGAGAACCCAGAGGGGCCTGATGGTGCGGACACCGATGTTCCCACCACCGGTGCTGACTGTTAGATAGGAGGTATAAAAGATGATAGCTCGCTGCTATCGCATAAATAACGATTATTCGGCTAACTTGCGCTGTGGAAATAAGTTTAAAAGGAACTATCAGATAAATCGGCAACGACCAATTGCTTCAATCAAGAAAACAGTAATTTAAATAATAGGAATTCTGTAGTTCCAATGAGAATGATGCTTCGCTTTTAAACCGGAATCAAATAATTAAACGACGATTCATGAGAACGATACGTTAGTGGGAAATAAGAAATGATTAGTCCGATACATTTAATCGGAAATCTCATTTTTAAACTATAAATGTGCATTTTTAAAGATATTAACTATAATGTACCCGTAGGCCACGGTTTAGGAGGCACGCAAAACGACAGATGTAGAAACAAAATGGTGGCCTGCTTATCGTGCCAGAATCACATGACGCACACTGCTGCTAATATTGAATACCCTCATCTGAAAGTAAATTATTTAGCTAAAGACAAAAGTGCAGGATTAGACTGAACACGAAAGAAATATCCAGCGTGGTTAGCATCTGGGTTGCTTTGCGTTACACAACTGAAGTGGTGTAAACAAAGGATAAATTCGTTTCGGTGTGGGATAAAATTATCTCACGAACGCATGTAGAAACGATACCTTAAGAAAGGGGAAAAACCAGCATTCCGAATATGAACTGTTCTTAAATTCTACCATATTTTAATAATATTTCAAAGGGAGATCTAATACTGATCGCTGAACTTAGAATTTCACCTAATCAGATCAGGGTTCAAATAAAGCACCACTGATATGAGGATCATGGATCACAGCAACAAGGACATATGAAGAACTAAAATTGGTCAGGAAGGAGGATAATTACCAGAAGGACATTGGTGTGTTGGTATATTTCAATAGCGAGCACGGACCGTTAAATATCTTGAAAGTTCCTCAAAATTAAAACATGACTTGCTTCATATCAAAGGTAGTTTTTAAGTATACAAATCCGTTAACTTGATAAGGCGCGGTATTCAAAATAGATTATAAAGCAAATGCTTCGTAAAGAGTAGTTATAGCCTAAAATTTTCGAAACGAATTTCCATAATGCTAATGCATCAAAGGACAAGATACAAATTTCAACCAATTTCCCTGAAATTCGGAAGAAAGTGTTCTAATTCGTTCTTATGCAAAGGGTTAAAAACGGCAAAACTACTAAAGTTCATCAGTAGAGAGAAAACAATAAGAAACTTAAAATACTTGAAGGAAGGCACAAAACCAAAAAGTGGATTTTAACTCAAATGAGCATGACGTTAGAAATAAAACAAAAGAGAGCAGACCACAGAACGAAATCCACGATCCTGGCATTCTTGCCGGCTGTTAAACGTATTCATAATCAAAAATTTAAAAGCCAAACCTCAGTATGTGCTCCAATGAATAATGTGATTTTCGTCAGGAGAGAGCGGAAACTTACAGGATGAGAGGAGCTAGAGGCATTCTCATTCTCAAGAGCTGAGACGCGTGCAGTAATAGATGCAGCCGCGGCCGCAACTGCAGCAGATGGAGGCAAACTCGAGGACGAAGATGTGACACTCTTCGGTGTAATGGCACGACCAACTCGTAGTAGTGTATGCGCTATTTCAAACCCATTCATATTAGTCACAGCGGCAATTGCTGCCTCCTCTGTTTCGAACTCGATCCACCCATATCCCTTATGATTTATCTCTGGCTGACCAAATTTCACATCCGGCTCCAGACTATAATAAAGAAGTTAAAGTAGAACTCTGCTACTTGCAGAAGGGTATGAATGGACTTTTGTAGCAGACATAAAAACAAACAAATCATGCTTTATAATGAGTAGTAGCAAGTGGTATTCATTAGCACTCACATGCAAGATTTTACTGTCCCAAAAGCTTCAAACACGGTTTGGATATCCGCCTCAGACAGCTTAGGGTGAACTCCAGCAACGTATATTCTACATTTATTCGACGGATCTTGGCGCAGCTCCGCTTCCAATGTAGCTGTTTGAGGCGCATTACTAGGTCGACCAACCTCAATATAGATAACACAATTGGGAGGCAAATTTCCAATTGGTCGAATCAGTCAAGCACCATTAAACTCACCTTAATTCCTCGTCCAGCTATCATAAATCCATTCATTTGCTCAAGGACAAGAGACGCCGCCTCAGGAACTTCGAATTCAACAAAAGCGAAACCTTTATGTTTTTGCAAAGCACTATCCCAACTTAGTGAAATAGACTTAATGGGCCCATATGGTGAAAAGGCTTTACGAATTTCTTCTTCACCAATTTCAAAACTTATAGACCCCACATAAATACGACTAAGAAGGACAAGAGCTTGCGTTTGTTTGATATTATTGATATCCTAAGCAGTTATAAACGATTTAAAAGGCAAACCTGAGACTGCAATTGAGACATTTGTTTGCGCACAGCATTTTGGATACTTTGCTCCAAAGCATACTTCTTGGCCCTTTCTACAGCGAATTTCTGTTCATCGGATAACGCAATCAACGTAAAAGGAGCCACTTCCTTAATATCTTTTCCAAATACAATAGGTTCACGTGTCTCCGAAGTCCCATTCGATGTCACAGATTTACGGTACGCATTTATGTAGGCTAAATCGTCAACATTAAACATTTCTTAATAATTCCAAAATAGCCCCAAGGGTGAAAACACAATCAAATAGACCAATAGATATGGCAAGGATATGAGAACCAATAGCTGAAAAGTAACCTTTGTTTTAAATTGCATCCACTGCAGAAGAAAAAATAGGCGGACTCTGATCACAATGAATACGTATGATTATGTTATTTTTTCCTGGTCGCTTAAAGCTAGATTTTATTTTGTGGAACTAAGCCCTCTGACCTCTTCTGAGCTGAATCTTCGTACCCTCAGAAGACCCAGGCTGACTTATTTTTATAATGTCTATTGGTTAAAGTAAACGGGGCAGTGGGTACAATGTTAGGAAAGTTTTGGCATACAACTTTTTCTCCGGGTTGTGGGGCGTTGACACCTTTTCACGTATGAGGTTCGATTCGTCCGTCCGCCTCCTCCCTAAAGCGAACATTTAAACAGCATAAGCATTACACTTACAAGTGTTCCTAGGGTATTTTAACACTTGGGCTCGGTAATGATCTATGCTATTTATTTCATAAATTTTTTTATATCAAATATGCAAACGACCTGAAATGTCTACTAACACACTACAAATGTATCCGTCCTGCACATTCTGAACGGTGATGGTTGTACGCTCGAGCACACCTTATTGTAATACGGCAGTGCTTTATCCCCCGGTATTGGTGAAGCACCACTTTTGTACTTTGAACTAGCCCCCTTGTACCTCGCTAGTTGGGCTGGCCTTTTGGGCCATGCCAATAGCCCAGACACCTTCTCCTTGCTGAATACATGTATTCTGCCCGAGTATTGTGTCTTCTTTTGTCTTCAGGGAGTCTCCGGACGCCATATTATGATATTAGAGTTATAATGTAGATCTGTGGTAATTTCTAAAATAAAATTCAGCCTTGTCATAGATCTATAAAAACAAAGCTTTAGTAGATTAAGAAACTCTGGGCTTTTTTTGAAGCCTTCCTACGGTTTTCGGTTAATTATGGAAGATACATTTAGGGATCAATCTATCTCGCTTTTAGACTTCCCTAACGACAACTAAAAACACATTGCTCAAACGAAATATATTTATGAGTAGTTTAATGTCCTACAATGCATCGTCTTCTGCAAAGCTGAAGCTGTGGGGCGAGGCTCCTCGGTCTCCGCTTCCCGATTCCTAGCGTTCCTAGACATGCCCGGTCGGTTTGCTTTGGTTATCTTTATTAAAGACGACAAGATGTATAGGGAAAATACAATATTCAAGAAGGAGGGGAGCCGCAGTCACTAGGTAAGGGAGAGGGCGATCCAGTTACAAGGTTCGAATTTCCTGATTGCCTCCTCCCTGAAAGGCACATTAAAACAACATAAGTATTACAAAGCATCTCAAAGGTTTAATAGACCATTTCTAGTTATGGTATTGGAATATGTTAGGCCTGTACGTCCCTAGTCTACCATTGACCAAATCTTCTTTTTTTATATTCATTTATAAATGTTCCGATTTCCTGATTGTTGTTTTATTTTTTGTTGTATTTATGTACGTTGCACAAATTGCATGGTGCGCCCTGAGTCATTCCTGAGGACGAAAAAGCTTAATGCTAGGACAGAAGATGTGTTGGCAACGTATCGAATCGCTGAGGTACTACCGGCATGGAGCGAAGGCCACGCCATCGGGCGCAATCCCAATAGTGGTGCCCTTCGGTGTCTGGGCAACCAAAACGAAGAGTTAAAAAACAAGATAATACATATGGATTTTCTGGTGTATCCTGATTCGGCACAATATCCAGCTCGACGCATATTCTATGTTTATATTACGGTCGCACCGTTACCTTATTCTTTCTTACGAATAAGATTGTCCCGAAAATTATCTGGAATGTTCGTTCCGATAACTCTGTACCATACATTTGCATTATACAGGTAGCAATCAGAATAAGACTTGTTAAGCAATATGTCTCTTCATTCTCTTTTATTAGGCATTTGTTGTCTTTAATGTGATGTTAATCCGAGCGATATTTGCAATCCGTAGGCAGGCTATCGTATGGATATATTTATTACCTGAGTACATGCCAACGGTCACTTCTTATCGCAATTTTACTCTTTTTTGAAGTGAAGGGGGACTGTAGAGTCATATTATTTGGAGTTTGAGGAACTTCTAGGAAAAATTCTTGATAATTTGTTTGTCTGGGATAATTACAGTGCCTGTTCCCATCGGGATATAAAGGAAGTAGCTTTTCTCACTCAGTAATTGTTACACTAAATGCAGCGAATGGGTTTTTTACTAGACTTCGTTACTAAAACTAAACAGTAGCTATTTGTCGAATATGATTCACTTTGTTTGCTGGCTGGTGGTCTGTTGTTCATGCCGAAACATAGTTTATATCGCGGTGTCGACGGCCATTCAGCTCCGAATCCTGATGCTTAGCTGGAAAGTTTTCCCTATCATACTTAACAGTTGCGTAGTTCAAATGTTCATAATCTCAGCATAGTCACTTAGTTACTATCTAAGCCATCGGCGTATTTCTTACTTCAGTGATCCAGTGTAGACGGGAGGTATGCCCAGCATTCTGCGAGTATTCTCACGCTGCAAATTACTCCCAGTATGCGGCGCTTTTACTTTTCAGATCGGGGAAGCTCGCCAAAACCATAATATTTGCGACATTGTGGAAGAAACGTCAGTTGACTTCCCTCACGTTTTCTACCACTGGGAAAGAATACGCCATCTGTCGAACAGTTTTCAATGGGTAGCCACCGTCGGCAACATACAAATCCCCTGCTGAACCGTCACTACTACGTTTTGCCTGCCCAGCCTTATTCATTCCTACGCTCTACGGTGCTATGGCCCGCATTGCGCACACGACATACTTCAGCAACCTCATACGGCGGGGCCGAACAGTTTCTTCAAGACCATTGTAACTGAAGTTTTTTAGCGTCCAATTCCAAACATCTTAGGATTTGGAAACATAACGAACACTGAAAAGCTGCTGCTCTCCGAAGACAACACCTTTAGTCATAAGCCGTTCAACCAACTCGACTTCGAATACGACATCACCAAATCATGCCTCTCACGAACTACGGCGAGGACGGCTACACGAAAACACATTAGAGAATTACTGCACCACACATGATCGTCCTGTATTTATTTAAGAGATAGTAATAAGTTTAAGCTTCAAAAACCTATTTTAATTCATAATATTCGGTCTACTCTTGCCAATTATAAAATGGAACTTGAAAAGGCCAACTGGAAGTAGAGGTACAGTGTGCAAAACAATCATTCATACAGCTCTAAAACATGGAGATTGTTGTCGGATTTATCCTTTAAATACCGCGGATAATACTTGGACTCTCTGAAAATCCTTATCATTCTTTCGATCTGGGTTGGGGTCAGCTGGTAAACGTTCCTTGAGTCGCGGCACATAGCACCATAGTCCTCGCCATAGAGCTCCAGTAGATATATGCAAAATATTCTGTCGTCTTCCGAAATAAATTTCTCGCGTTTTCTCTTAGACTTTCTCACGTTTTTTAATTCTATGCATTAAAGAAATCAAACAGTACCTCTTATAACATTTGGGTCAGCTAGTCCCTCAACCTCATCCTTTCGACCCTAGGAAAAATTTGCTATTAAGAAAATACTACTGTGTTGCAAGTGCTTTCATTTGGATCAAAGACCAATCCAATTCGGTTAAAATTCGCCCTGATAGAGAGACGGTCATTCCATGACTTCCTGATGATTGAACTAAAGGTGTCAGGCGGTAGCGATCAAAATACTTCTGAATAATGAAACGTTTCTTTTTTTTACGCAGGCTTTTCCTACGATTCTTTCTATAGTCATAGGCATTCTTCCTACCCATAACACACCGAAAACCAACCAGCTCGAGTATGCCTCCAATTGACTTTGTGGACAATCGATTAATTGAAACAAAGCTGCCCTAAGATGGACATTTTAGAATAAAGGATCGTTTTGTGCAACTTTTAACCTAACGTGAAATACGCTGTAAAAAAATTAATACAGTTAAAATAACCGAATAGAATCAAAATGACTTCCGAAAAAACTTGTGAAGTTACGACTGTTGGGTAGCAATAGATATTTTGCGAAGAAAGATTAGAGTAAAACTAGAACACTGTGCCTTTTAATTTTTTTTAGCTTTTTTGCGTGCTTTAATACGACACAAAAAATGTATTTCTATTACTCTCTATTGGCTACTGATTGAATCAAGCCTATTTTGATACAGGCTGATATTTGGCTAAGTGAGTTTAACATCCCTTGTGTAGCGTCCCGGGACTTCGTGAAGACTAAAGAAGCCAAAATACTCTGGCAGAATATATATTCAGCGCAGCGAAGGTGTCTGGGCTATTGGGATGGTTCGAAAGGCCAGCCCACCCAGCGTGGTACAAGAGGGCTAATTCAAAGAACAAAGGTGGCGCCTCACCAATGCCGAGGGATAAACCACTATCGTATTACACTTGAGCTTTAGCCTTTGTAGGTCGCATTT